TACTGCCTTCAATTGGAAGAGGTCCCCAATTGCAATAACATGAATCCCTCCAAACAGTAAAGAGGATCCTTTCAAGTCTTGCAATCTTTTATTAATAAAACTAAACATTGCATTCCCAACCATAGATATTTCATCTATAAATAATACTTTCAGACCACCAAGGATTGCTCTTAGAATGTTTAATCTTCTGCAATCTAAAGGTTTATATTGCAGTGATTGATTTACTGGTACTTTTAAACCATTATGAATTGTATTTCCTTTAATATTAAATGCTGCCTTTCCTGTAGGTGTTATCACCAACTGTTGTATAGTTTGGTAATCATCACCAGCTTTAGAGGAATAAAACCTCAACAAACTTTGATAAATTGCCATAGTTACAAAACTTTTACCAGCTCCAGCCCCACCACTCAGAAATCTAAATAGTTGAGTTTCTGAAGTTTTTATTGTTTATTATCGAAATGTCAATTCTTGCAAAACCAGAAATGCCACAGTTCAACATGTGCAAAAAATCAGCTCTAGAAGGCGCATTTTTGCATCGATTTAAACTAGTGTCCAAAAGAAACGATACCAACTTATTTTCAAAATTGTTTTTAACTAAGTGAATTGTCTAATATGAAAACATGCCAATTCGTATTGCACATCCCAAACACAGCATAGTCGATAAAAATACCAGGAACACGTGATCACATCCGCGAAAAAACATAAATTTCGTGAAAGTAACATTTCCCTCTCTAGCATGTTCTGCACGTGCATAAAAACTGTATAAAACGGCTGATCAGACAAGTTGATATCACAGCAACAAAAAGAACACAAGATATGCCACATTTGACAGCCATCGAGAGAGAGAGAGCCATTGGAATGGTCCAACAAGGAGCGACACACGTCGACGTCGCCAGAAGGTTGGGCTGCGCATGCATCACTATCACCAGGTTGATGCAGCGGTTACGTCAGACAGGTCAGACGTCAGACAGGCCCAGGAGTGGAAGACCACGAGTAACCACGCCCTGTGAAGATCGTTACATCCGGGTATTACACCTGAGGAACCGCACTGTAACAGTGACGTCCACGGCGGCTACAGCACTGGGACACAGGATCAGTCGACAGACCGTCTACAGGAGACTACGGCAGTATGGTATCCGGCCACGTCATCCCTACCGCGGACCGCTACTGACGCCTCGACACCGGAACAACAGACTGATCTGGGCCAGGCGAGTTCGACGTTGGCAACGGCGGGACTGGGCATGTGTTATGTTCTCTGATGACAGCGGATTCCTCATCTTCAAAAATGATGGACGGCAGCTTGTATACCGACGATTTGGTGAACATTTGGCGTCTAACTGTATCCAATAGGTCTGGCCGTTTGGAGGTGGAGGGTTAATGGTTTGGGGTTGCATATGTGGTGACGTCAAAACGAGGCTTGTCGTAAATCGTGGAAACCTGAATGCACAGCGTTATATTGATGACATCCTACGGCCTGTTGTGGTACCCTCTATTTAGCAACAGCCTCGTGGACTCCTTTTCCAACATGATAATGCAAGGCCACACACAGCAAGATTGACACAGAACTTCCTTGCCAACGCCAACAGGTTTTGCCATGGCCCGCATGTTCGAGGACATGAATCCCATCGAGCACTTATGGGACCACCTCGATCGGCAAATCCGATGTCGCCGTGTGCCTCCAGTCAACGTCCAGGACTTGGAACGATGTCTCCGCGAGGAATGGCAACGCATCACTCCCAACATCATCAGACGTTTGACGGCATCAGTCCGTAGGCGTGTTCTAGCATGTATTGATGTTCACGGTGGACATACCCGCTACTGACTTGAATTTGAGACGTGTGGTGTGACATTTCCCGTTGTTTCTGTGATCAGTGCTCTAACGAAATGTTCTTTTTTCGACCCCACCCATCTTTAAAGGCTTGTCATATTGGTTGTACAGATTTTATTGACATGAAATTTTTGTACAGATGTTGTGAAAGGATTTCTCAAAAGCATAACACCAATCCTAAACTTCTGCATTGTTTAGTTTTTCTTTTATGTCGTTGCAAACAGGTGGTATCGTTTCTTTTGGACACTAGTTCTGACCTGATAGCTTTTGAAAAATTACGAAATTCGATAATTCGTCGCTCACTTTTTTCGATCAAATTTTTCAATTTTTTTGCAACTTTTTTGTTTTTGCATCGATTGATCTGAAATTTTAAATGCAAAGAGACTTCACTAATGTTAATAATATGATACAGTCAAATTTTGTACGTCATTTCCGCTTTTAAAGAGGGAAGTGACTGAACTTCAAATCTACTTCCGGTTGAATAACTTTCGGTGTAATTTATGTAGGTCAACAAAACTTAGCCGGTCATTAGCAAATAAAATTCTATGGCCGATTTTAAAATAAAATGTAGACCGGAAGTGATACTTCGGCCGCCATATTGAAAAAACACACTTTTGTAAAACTCAAAATGGGGCCTCAGGGTAAATGTTGATATGCTTAATTTTGATGTGAATGTATTCTGCAATCGATTGCGCAAAAATCGTTGGGAGCCGAATTTTGAATTTCGCTTTTGCTTTTTTGCAACTTCCTGGTGAAATTTTTTCAAGCTTTAAACGACCACATCACGTGACCTTGACCTTTGATGACCTTGACCTTTATACAGTCAAAGGTCATTGACCTTGGCTATCATTTGATATTTTGACATTTGACCTCCGACAAGTACTTCCGGTTTTATAGCTGTCCGAAAAAAAACCAATTCGCAAATTTGGAATGCCGTAGCACATGAACTAATTAACCTAGAGGGTTAATTTTTTCGGTTTCTTAATGTGCTTCTCATGCACTTTACATAGATATATAACAATCGTATTTTTGAAGTAAAATTGAAATTCAGGATTTTTTTAAATTTGAGTTGTTGTTTTACAATATCTGTGTCTCTTTGAGCTTGGTGTATGTATATCTTATGACCTATTTGATATAGAACCTTGAAATTTGGAACACAACTAGACATTTTGAATAGGAATTCACCTATGACAAAAAAATGTGGGCGTGGCACATCCGGGTTGAATTAGTAATTGTTTACATTTCGGGGCAGGGGCATAACTCGCATAGGATACGTTTGTTCAAAAAGGGACTTTGCACACAATTCCCTCATCCTTTTGACCAGTTTGTGTTAACAGCTCTGTTTTATAGTTCCAAAAAAGGAACGGGTTTTAAAATTTGGATATTTTCATTTTTCGATTTTGACCTTTTTTGACTTTTGTTGACCTATATCTTTTGACCTGTATGATGTAGAAGCTTGAAATTTGGTACATGACATAACATCTTAAATATCAATTAACTTATGTCAAATAAATGAAATGTGCGTGGTACATGCGGATTAAATTACTTTTTATTTATATTTTTGACCAGAGGCATAACTCGCAAAGAATACATTTGTTCAAAATGGAACTTTGCATACAATTACTTCATGTTTTGAGCCACTTTGTCTTATAAGGTCAGTTGTTTCAGCTTCATAGTTCTACAAAATGCACAGGTTTCGGAAATTCAAAATTTTAAATTTTTGACCTTGACCTTTGATGACCCTGACCTTTAAAATGTCTAAGGATATTGACCTTGGCTATCAGTTGATACTTGACATTTCACCTCCAACATGTACTTCCGGTTTTATAGCTGTCCAAATCAACCAAATTCTCAACTTTGGACTGCTCTAGCACGTGACCTAATTAACCTAGAGGGTTAATTTTTTCGGTTTCCTACTGTGCTTCGCATTCTCTTTCCAATGATATATAACAATTGTATTTTTAAAGTAAAATTCGTGATTTTTCAAATTTGAGTGGTTGTTTTACAATATATGTGTCTCTTTGAGCTTGGTGTATGTATATCTTATGACCTATTTGATGTAGAAGTTTGAAATTTGGAACACAACTAGACATTTTGAATAGAAATTCACCTATGACAAAAAAGTTGAGGTGGGCGTGGCACATCCTCGTTGAATTACTAATTGTTTACATTTAAGGGCAGGGGCATAACTCGGATAGGATACATTTGTTGAAAAAGGGACTTTGCACACAATTACCTCATCTTTTAGGCCAGTTTGTGTTGACAGCTCAGTTGCTTCAGCTTTATAGTTCTAAAAATGGAACGGGTTTTAGAATTTCCATATTTTCAATTTTCAATTTTGACCTTTGATGACTTTTGTTGACATATATCTTTTGACCTGTATGATGTAGAAGCTTTAAATTTGGAACGCAACATACTATTTTGAATATCAATTTACTTATGTCAAAGAAATGAAGTGGGCGTGGCACATCCAGGTTAAATTACTCATTATTGACATTTTTGGCCAGAGGAATAACTCGCTAAGAATACATTTGTTCAAAATGGAACTTAGCATACATTTACCTCATGTTTTGAGCCACTTTGTCTTAGAAGTTCAGTTGTTTCAGCTTCATAGTTTAAAAAAGGAAATTTTCAATTTTTGACCTTGACCTTTGTTGATCTTGACCTTTGTAGGATCAAACGTCATTGGCTATCTATTTATGCTTTTATATTTGCTGTCCTATGTCAACTTCCGGTTTTTCTAGCCGTGTGCAATTTGAAATTTTGATGACGTATATCTCTTGATCTTGCCCTTTTTAGACTTTCTCCTTAACAAGATCAAAGGTCATTGACCTTGGCTATCTGCTGATACTTTCATTTGTGAGGGCTGACGTCTACTTCCGGTATTAGAATCTTTTAAAAAATGAAAATTTCTCAACTTTAGACTGTTCTTGCGCTTGACCTAATTGTCGGCGAAAGTTGATTTTTTCAGGGTCTTTTGCAATTTGCTACATTTGCAAAGTCCCACTCTGAGCCACAGGTGGCTCTAGTTATATTTATGGTATCATAAACAAATATGACTTGCTTTTCATTTAAAGAGCTCATCAACTGAAGATATTCAGTTTCAGGCATTTCATATAGAGTTAATTCATTATCTTTATCAGTTTTAGGTATTCCAAGGTCAGAGCCTTTATCATATTTTTAATGGTTCTCTTTTCTTTTTCAAATTTTCAATTTGAATATTTTCTTCATGTTCATCATCTTTATTTACTTGTTGTGTACCTGGTGCTTGTTCGTCCCAGGTACTTTCAGATTCAATTTCTGCATTCATTGCAGCTTCAACTTCAACTCTATTATTTTCATATTGTTGCTGAAGTATTAGAATATTTTCCTTTAACATCATATCTTTCAGCAAAAGTTTCAGAATTACTGATGAGATCTAGTTCTTCATTTCTCCATGGAGAATACAACATTAATAATTCTCTTTAATGTTTTTCTGGATCTTTATCAACATTAAAACTTACGTATCTGATCACTCGAAGAGTGCTTCTTATTTTTTCATTTGTTTCCTCAATTTCGTCATCAGAATTATGATCATCCTGATTTTCTTTCAACATTCCAATTTCATCTGTATTAGATGAACGTTTAATGAATTTATTTGTCCTATCATAATAAGCAACATATTCTGCTAAGCATACTTTTTCTCATTTCAAACTTCTATTTTTATATCTTTCGTGTAAATTACTAGATTGAATATCATCATCATCATTTTCAAGTTTTTCTTATTCAACTTTAGATTTTAGAAGTTGCACTCTTTCCTCTGGTGGGGAAGTATTTATGAATACAACTTCTCTTGACGATTTCCTCATGGGTAATTGCAATATTATGTACACTGCTTCCTGTGCACTTATTTTAACATTATTTAAAAACTTATTTCCAATTATCTTTACCTGTTCTTTGATGCCATAATTGCCATTTCATACTTCTTGACAAGCTTTTCTTAATACATCACTAATTCCTCTTTGTGATTTTGCAATGTAAGATGCAATATACATAGCACATGCATAAACATCAAGTACAAATTGGATGTCGTGATTTGCTTGCCAACCTTTCATTAAAAAAACATTATAAGAATTTATACGTAATTCATTTGGATTTCTTTTCAAAAATACAGTTGGTCTTGTAACTGAAGACTTAATTGCTAAGATGTAATCATCATGATTTAGATTAACTCTTTCCAAGAAATCATTAAATGATATATCTTCACCTTCAATCATATCATCCATGATTTATTTTAATTTCTTATAATTTTCTTTCTGTTTCTTAATTTCACTTTCTTTAGTGTTTTCTTCAAATGGTCTCGAAATAGTTGTTTTCATCATTGGAGGCTGGGGAAAGCCAAACCTACAAATCTTTTGAGTTTTTTTCTTGCATGTATGGGAATGTTTGAGTTTGGTAAGAAATTAATCTTTTTAAGTTTTCATCATCAGCTTCTTTATTACATGTCATTACTTTATCAATGAAGTTACAAACTTCTTCATCTTTACTTTGCCCATAAATTGGAGCATTTTCAACCCATAATAATGTATGGATATGTGGAGATCCTCTATGTTGGAATTCCACTCTATAGAAATAATCAACTACCGTTCCAATAGGTGAGTTTTCTTTTTTAAGTATTTCTTTAAATAATAGATTTACCTGGTGGTCAAAATGTCTGGTACAGATTACGGGATCAGATGACACCAGTCTACATTTTGTTTCCCAATTAAAATTTTCTATTTCTTCATCAGTATAATCTTTACTATCTAGAACTTTTTTCTAAGAATTTTTAATAAATGTTTCCAATGAGTTTCTGCAGCTGAAAAGCTACAAAAAAACGTTGCTGGACCCAACCGTCGTATCATAGCAAAAACATCACTTTTAGCTTTTTTAAAATAGGGAGGTGACCCTCTTAGAGTTTTTAGGATCATATATCCTACATCAAAATTAATCAATTTATTAATTACAGTAGGGTGTCTTAAATCCCCTGCTGTCAATTTCTTGCCTTGTGTGTTTTTTTTTCTTACAGCAATTTGAGCATTGCCAATCATAATTTTCATTTGTAGTTTCTTTAATTTGAAAAATATATTCTCAGGAATATTAGCAACTCTCCTGTCATTCCTTCTTATTTCAGATTTACATAGCTCACTATAATAAACGTTAGTTTTTCGTTCAGTATTACATTTCCTGCATTTCCATAAAATATATTTGGAAATGCCAATTCCTCAGAATTTTTATCAATAAATATACTCATGGGAAAATTTCCTTCACCATAAAGTCAGGAGCTGTAAAAATGGTACCTTTTGTGCTCCCAACATTTTCATTTTCATCTTCACTCCAATCAGCATTAGATTTTTTATTATCTTTTTCAATTATTGCTTCTTCATTTTCACTGTCTTCTTTTTCAGAGGAAAGCAATCCAGTGGTTTCACTAAATTCATTTTCATTTTGCCAACTTTCATTAAATACAATACCTTCATTTTCATAAAGTTTTCCATTTTTCTGCAGCTTCTTTAATTTTATAGGGTCTTATATTTTCAGTCATTACTGCATGATTATATTTAAGCTGCCTTTTTAATTGAGCAGCAATAGTCATTGTGTCATCTGTTGCCCGAGGCAACATTTTTACTGTATAAATTACATTTGCTGGTACATTGACAACATTACCTCTAATTTTTAATTGTTTGCCACGAGGAGCAGCATAAATTTTCATAAATGGTATCCTTGGTGACAATAAATGCCAGATATAATTCTAAATTTTTAGGTTTTGCAGGAAATTCCATTCCATTTATTATAGAGCATGGTGGTATTTTATCTTTCTTAATATATTTTTCACAAGTTCCACAAAAATAACCATTACCTTCATCTGTAAGACAAAAGTTCTTCAGTTTCCACTGATTTAGTAGCATCTCTTTTTTTTTCCCTTAATTTAGACTCAGAATTATTCCTCTTTTCTTTTTTTGATTTTAATTCATTTTTTATTTTACGATATTCAGGATTCACTCTTTTTTCCCTTTTTAAAGGAGTTTCATTTTGTTTCTCATTGTCTTTAAAATCAGGATCCATGCGCTTAATTTTTTTTGCATTTACTTCATTTCTTATTTTGCGATATTCAGGATTTACTCTTTTTTCTTTCTTTGATTTGCATTTCATTACCTTTTCTATATCTCGGAATTCTAAATTTGACCTCTGCCTTTGTTTATATGACTTGAAGTAATTACTTCTATCTTTTTCATTTAAATATTTATTTAGCTAATTAATTTTCATTGCTTTAATCTGTTTATCTTCATATTGAAAATAATTATCAAGATTTATATTCATTTTTGTTTGTATTCCATTGGCATCTTCAGTTGCAGTACATTTCTGTGTTTCTTCTTTTTTATCAGCTTTTGTTATATTCTTTTTTACATTCTCACATTCAGATTTTTCATTTTCAGCTGATGCATTAGATTTTTCTTTTTTATTTTCAGTCGATTCATTAGATTTTTCTTCTTTTTTTTTTCATTAGATTTTTCTTCTTTTTTTTTTCATTAGATTTTTCTTTTTTTTTTTTTCATTAGATTTTTCTTTTTTTTTTCAGTTGATTCATTAGATTTTTTTTTTTTTTCCAGTTGATTAGCCTACCATGTAGCTCGGCAAGGCAGGGGCGCTACTCCCTGTAAGACAAACATTGTTCGTCACTTTAAGAGATCTATGTCCAGAAACGATTAATAATATACATGAGCGACCTTGCGCGACCTCCACGTTAGTTTGTTTTGATAAACATGGGTTTTCTGTACAATATCAGCTAGTAGAATGAATCCAGTAGTTTCAAGCAAGGTACAATGTATTAATGTATACTTCGACAAATACAAAATGGCGGATTTCACTTATTTCCAAACGTCACCATTTTTTATCTGCCGAATTTCCTTATAATCCCAATCGGTAATCGGAACTCCAAGTGTCGTCTGCTAGAATATAGTCCAACAAATGAAGTCACGTGATCAACTAGCGGATTCTGTGTCAGCAGAAAATTTCTATGGAACACAAAGTGGACCGTATTCTTATGTTGTTTCAGTGACTTTTAGCAATAAATCACGCTACGTATCTTATTTTGTCAGTCACTATTTTTTTTAAAATCGTGGTTCTTTGAAGGAATTGTCACTAGTTATAATGAATTGATATTAAAGGTAAATACTAAGAGAAGTTAATAATAACACCCGGTATCCATACAACGTGTTTTTCTAGACTTATTTATAGATTAAACATTGTACACGAAAATAGGTGATGCATTCTGCCGCCGTTGCCAAGTTGGTTGCTCATGAAATATGGGTCAAAGTGAAGGATTCATAAAGAAAATCGAAATAAACCAATTCTAATTATTTTGTAGAATATCTGAAGAAACATCTATGACATAAAAGAAAAATTTTCGTTTTTTTTTAATTTTGACGAAATTCGGTGTTGAATCCTTATATCCACGAAAACAGGTTACACCACTGTAAATTCATTCGCTGGCAGGTTATGAATAATGAAATAAATGCAGGTCAAAATATGTTTGGATTTTCATTCAATGACAGAAGGGTATTGACTTACAATGACTAAAAAAACTGTTTATTGAAAAATCATCGAACTTGAATTTGTTTAAGATTTCATGGTTGTAAATGATCACACAAACTTAAGCTTACTGAAAATTGTACTTTCTATTTTGCTTACCAATTTTGGCATATGTAAACTAAGTCAAGGGCAGTAACTCAAAAACGGTTCAAATTCATCTAATTTGAACAAGATCTCATCATAATAGATGATCACACCAAATTTCATCAAAAACAATTGAAAACTGTAGTCTCTTTTGTGTTCACAAACAAATTTTTACACTTTTTTGTTAAGTCAGGGGCAATAACTCAAAAATCGTTCATCGAAAAATCTTGAAATTTGAACTTGCCCATGATCTCATCAATATCAATGATCACACCAAATTTCATTAAAATCAGTTGAAAACTGAAGTCTATTGTGTTCACAAACAAATTTTGAACAGTCAAGGGCAATAACTCAAAAACCGTTCATCAAAAGATCGTCAAATTCGAACTTGACCAAGATCTCATCAATATAAATGATCGCACCAAATTTCATTAAAATCAGTTGAAAACTGTAGTCTCTATTGTGTTCACAAACAAATTTTGATGCATTTTTCTTAAGTCAAGGGCAATACCTCAAAAACCGTTCATCGAAAGATCATCAAATTCAAACTTGACAAAGATCTCATCAATATAAATGATCACACCAAATTTCATTAAAATCAGTTGAAAACTGTAGTCTCTATTGTGTCCACAAGAAATGTTGACGGACCGACGGACAGGGGCGACGGCAATATACGTCCACATTTCCATTTTGTTATATATTGCCTTACTTGTGAATTATGTAAATTTGATGAATTCAAAACCTTTTTGAAGAAACGTTGGGTATTAAAGGATGGTATTTGATGTCAAGTTTTATTATTTATTACACCAAATTCAGTATACAACAAATGAATCGCTGTACTACTAGTGGTATTGGTGATCCCATCAAAAAGTCTCACCCCCCTGACACTGTGAAAAAAAAAACATCCAGACGATTTGATAGAAAGAAGAAATGTGCCAGAAATGCTAAATTGGTTGAGTTGTCCACAAAATCATTCCTCTTCAATGTGAGTTCAAGAACTTTATTAAAGCAAAGGGTTATCGTTTTGTCCGGTTCCTCCTAAATATGATCAAGTGAGGGAGCTAAATGACCTTAGAGAATTCCAAAGAAGACTGAGATTGGAATTCTTTCATGAGAAACCTTGGAAACAAATGCTTCCACCTTCTCTCTACATTAAGAGTGACTGGTCACCACCAACTGGCAGAGAGGATGCATTGGAACTTTTTTGCCTCAGCCAATCTCAAACTGTGGAAAGTCACACAGAAAAAAGAATCCACGATAATCTAACAATGGAAGAAAGATTAGCATTGTCAGCATTAAGGAATGATACAGAAATTGTGATAGGTAAAGCTGACAAAGGAGGTGGTATAGTTATTTGGGACCGACAAGACTACATTAAAGAAAATGAGAAACATCTTCAGGATGATTCAGTGTATCAGAAGGTAGGGAAAGATAATTCTAATGAAATCCATGATCAACAGAAAAATTTAATTTATGCATTGAAAATTGCTGATAAAGAGAAGGAAGCTATCCTCCATAGACCACTTAAGGCACCAGCCCACTTTTACATTCTTGGTAAAATACACAAAGTTAAAACTACATCAGAAATTCCACCTGGCAGACCCATATGTAGTCAGATAACAGCTCCTACATATAAGGCATCTCAATGGATTGAATGGAAATTAAAAGAGGTAGCTCAGGATTACTGTCATGAAGCTCTCAGAGACAACACTCATTTTCTACAAAAAATCCAATCTCTCAACAACAGTTCTATACCAGAAGATAGTCACCTACTTACTCTTGATGTTATTAGCCATTATCCCAACATCATATCTGAAGGTCTGGATGCTTTGAAAGATGCTCTGGAGAAAACGAACAACATCGGTCTAGAAGAAACTAATAGTATTCTACAAGTTGCAGACTTTGTTCTGCACAACAATGAATTTGAATTCAATGGGAACTTCTTCAGACATATATCTGAGACATCTATGGGGACACCCTTTGCAGTTACATATGCCAATATTGACCTATTGGATGAATAAATTTTGGAATTCTTTATCTGAAAAACCAGACATATCCTGCAGATTTATTGATGACATTTGGGCTCAGTCTACTAAATCACCTTGGGACCTTGGGAAATTTATTAAGGGAAAACAAATTAAAACAGTGTGTAGAAAATGTGAATATTTCTAAAAGTGTGGGATGTGTACCTTGTAATAAACCCAAGTACAAAACTTGTGAAAAGATGAACACAATCACCAATAGACACTCAAAATCATTTTATATCAAAGATTCTTTAAATTGTCAGAGTAATTTGGTTATATATTGCCTTACTTGTGAATTATGTAAATTTCAGTATGTTGGCCAGACAATAACCCCCTTCAATATTAGACATAACAAACATAAGAGCAACATTAAATTGAAAAAGGTTCATAAAGCTCCTCATATTGCCCCCCATTTTAACCAACCTGGTCATGATTATAAATGCACACTTCTTCAGAAAATTCCAAATGAAAGCAAAAGCATATTAGACAGTGCAGAAACTTTGTGGATTCATAGACTTGACTCTGTATGGCCGTATGGATTGAATGAACTCAACCCAGGAGGTTTCAAAATTGCTAAATATTAGTGTATTCCCCCCCCCCACTCTTTTTCCCTTCCTGTTTAGACTTTTTGGCAAATCCTGAAGTCATCATTACATACTTGTTATGTTGTATCTAAGATTTTGATGTCATAAATCTTCTGAGGTCATGTTATCTAGAATCATATATGGCTGTGGTCCACTATCTATGTATGCGAAATGGAATTAATACGCTCAAGGTTAAGAAAGGTAAATTTTATGCAAAATTTTTTATTTTATTTTATGTAAATATACAAACTTCAGATCAAAACGGAGTTCATCACTCTGCTTTAAACAAAGACTCTTTAAATAACTTTTATTAGTAGCAAAGTCCCTGTTTGTTATCGAAATGTCAATTCTTTTTTCGATTTTAAGAAAATTAGAAAATCAAGATGGCGGCCAAAGTATCACTTTTGTTTGTTATCGAAATGTCCATTCTATTTTTTTTTTTTTTTTTTCGAAATTTACACACCTTCCTGAGCTTAGACTGCAGTAGTTGCAGCAACCATTCAACTTCTCTAGACCTTCTGTAGTGGCAACGTGTTCCTTAAATATATATTGGAACATTTTTGCAAAAGCGGAAGTGCCACAGTTGAACATGTGCAAAAAGTCGAAAATCGGCTCTAGAAGGCGTATTTTTGCATCGATTTTCTTCGGGTTTTCATTTTTACAATCTACCTGAAATTTCTGACCTGATAGCACTGGAAAAATTACGAAAGTCGAAAATTCGTCGGTCACTTTTTTCGATCAAATTTTTCAATTTTTTTGCAACTTTTTTGCTTTTGCATCAATTGATCTGAAATTTAATATGCAAAGGGGCATCACTAAGGTAAATAATATGCAGTTGTCAAATATTTAACTTTACTTCTGGTTTTAAACGGGGAATCAATTGAAAGTACAATCCACTTCCGGTCGAATAACTTCCGGTGTAATTGAAATAAGTCAACGAAATTTATGCTGATCGTAAGTAAATGCTAATACAAAAAAACGAAGAATATAAAATCCAGACCGGAAGTGATACTTTGGCCGCCATCTTGATTTTCTAATTTCCTTAAAATTGAAATAAGTCCTTAGGGATAAACTAAATCTGCATAAATTTGGTTCGATGTAATCTGCTGTCTAATGTTCACAAAACGTTGCGAGCCGATTTTTGAATTTTGCTTTTGCATTTTCGCAACTTCCGGTTGAATTTTTTCAAAGTTTGAAAGCTTATTTCTTGTGACCTTGACCCTTTCATAGGGTCAAAGGTCATTGACCTTGGCTATCAATTGATACTTTGACCTTTGACCTCCGACTTGTACTTCCGGTTTTATAGCTATCCGTAAAAAGCCAAATTCGCAACTTTGGACTGCTCAAGCACGTGACCTAATTAAATAGATAAATTTTTTCAGTTTCCTAATGTGCTTCTCGTGTACTTTACATAGATATATAACAATCGTTTTTTTAAAGCAAAATTGAAATTCGTGATTTTTTCAAATTTAAGTTTTTTTTTTTTTTACAATATTTGCGACTTTTTGAGCTTGGTGTATGTATATCTTATGATCTATTTGATGTAGAACCTTGATATTTGGAATATAACTAGACACTTTGAATATGAATTCACCTATGATAAAAAAACTTATGTGGGCGTGGCACATCTGGGTTATATTACTCATTATTGATATTTTTGGCCAGGAGCATAACTCGCAAAGTATACGTTTGTTCAAAATGGAACTTTGCATACAATTATCTCATGACTTGAGCCACTTTGTCTTAGAAGTTCGGTTGTTTCCGCTTCATAGTTCAAAAAAAGGAACAGGTTTTGGAAATTCAAAATTTTCAATTTTTGACCTTGACCTTTGTAGGATCAAACGTCATTGGTGTTGGCTATCTATTTATACTTTTATATTTGCTGTCCTATGTCAACTTCCGGTTTTATAATCGTGTGCAATTAGAAATTTTGATGACGTATATCTCTTGATCTTGCCCTTTTTAGACCTCCTTTACAAGATCAAAGGTCATTGACCTTGGCTATCTGCTGATACTTTCATTTGTGAGGGCTGACGTCTACTTCCGGTATTAGAATCTTTTAAAAAATGAAAATTTCTCAACTTTAGACTGTTCTTGCGCTTGACCTAATTATCGGCGAAAGTTGATTTTTTCAGGGTCTTTTGCAATTTGCTACATTTGCAAAGTCCCACTCTGTGCCACGTGTGGCTCTAGTTTTTTCTATTCTTTTGGATTAGAACCAACTAAAATTTCCCTATTTTGGTTTTAATTTATCGATATAAATGAATCTTATTGTGAACTCGATACTTATTATTGTATTATAAACATATTATCATTTCACCTTTTCTGCCTGTTCCTTATAAAGGGTTGATTTCTCTAGATATAGTCTCAAAGTGGGTGTACCTAAAGGGTGAGACGCATTAGCAAACATCCACATACATTAATGAAATATTAAAACCAAAGAACAAATTTTATGGAATAATATAAACCTAAAATTAAATGGAAATTATCTTTATGATGAACATCTCATAAATAATAATATACTGACTGTTTGGGATCTTTTTGAAATTGACCAACAAACAGAATCTTTCACCATTAATTTGTACATAAGTAAATTTATTAATTGTGCAGTTCAATACTTAAAAGAAAATGATGCCAAATATAACGATATATTAGTTTATACAGAATTAATAGAAAACATTTTAAGATACAAATTTAAACTAACTGTATAAATGTAACTTTAAAAACATTTCATCTAAAATTATTTACGATAAGCTTATTGATATGAAATATAGTAAACCTGCATGTGTGAAGAAATGGAAAGATATTTTAAATGTTAAACTTTCATATCAGGATATTGAAGTATTATTCAAAAATATAAATAAAACTTCTGCAACTCTAATAATTGGAGACAACAGAAATCTTTTTATTTTTTGTTACAAATCATAAGAATTATGGGATGAAATAAGTAAAATATTTAATTATAAGACTAATATAATAATTTAAAACATTTAGATATTTATGACAACATCAAAGATAATGCTCAAATTAACTTTATAAGTCATTTAATATTACATGAAGTTATTGTGGGACTTTGCTTCTGCAAAGTCCCAGTTTGTTATCGAAATGTCCATTCTTTTTTTTTTTTTTTTTTTTTTTTTTTTCGTTTCGTCCACACCTTCCCGAGCTTAGACTGCAGTAGTTGCAGCAACGTTTCAAATTTCATAGACCTTCTATATAGGCGACGATGTGTTTAAATATAAATTGGAACATTTTTGCAAAACCGGAAGTGCCACAGTTCAACATGTGCAAAAAGTCGAAAATCGGCTCTAAAAGGCGCATTTTTGCATCGATTTTCTTCGGGTTTTCATTTTTACAATCTACCTGTAATTTCTGACCTGATAGCATTTGAAAAATTACGAAATTCGAAAATTCGTCGCTCACTTTTTTCGATCAAATTTTTCGATTTTTTTGCAACTTTTTTGCTTTTGCATCGATTGACCTGAAATTTTAAATGCAAAGAGACTTCACTAATGTTAATAATATGATACAGTCAAATTTTGTACGTCATTTCCGATTTTCAACAGGAAAGCGACTGAACTTCAAATCTACTTCCGGTTGAATAACTTCCGGTGTAATTTATGTAGGTCAACAAAATTTGGCTGATCTTTGGCAAATAAAATTTTATGGCCGATTTTAAAATAAAATCCAGACCGGAAGTGATACTTTGGCGGCCATATTGAAAAAACACACTTTTGTAAAACTCAAAATGGGGCCTCGGGGTAAAAGTTGATATGCTCAAATTTGATGTGAATGTATTCTGCAATCGATTGCGCAAAAAACATTGGGAGCCGAATTTTGAATTTCGCTTTTGCTTTTTTGCAACTTCTGGTTGAAATTTTTGTAAAGCTTTAAACGATCACACCATGTGACCTTGACCTTTGATGACCTTGACCTTCATAGGGTCAAAGGTCATTGACCTTGTCTATCATTTGATACTTTAACCTTTGACCTCCGACATGTACTTCCGGTTTTATAGCTATCCGTAAAAAGCCAAATTCGCAACTTTGTACTGCTCTAGCACGTGACCTAATTAACCTAGAGGGTTAATTTTTTCGGTTTCCTAATGTGCTTCTCATGCACTTTACATAGATATATAACAATCGTTATTTTAAAGCAAAATTGAAATTCGGGATTTTCTCAAATTTGAGTTGTTTTTTTACAATATTTGCGTCTTTTTGAGCTTGGTATATGTATATCTTATGATCTATTTGATGTAGAACCTTGATATTTGGAATACAAGTAGACACTTTGAATATGAATTCACCTATGACAAAAAATCTTATGTGGGCGTGGAACATCCGGGTTGAATTATTAATTGTTACATTTAGAGGCAGGGGCATAACTCGCATAGGATGCGTTTGTTCAAAAAGGGACTTTGCACACAATTACCTCATCCTTTTGGCCAGTTTGTGTTAACAGCTCAGTTGTTTCAGCCTTATAGTTCCAAAAAAAGAACGGGTTTTAACATTTGGATTTTTTCATTTTTCGATTTTGACCTTTGTTGACTTTTGTTGACCTATATCTTTTGACCTATATTATGTAGGAGCTTGACATTTCGAACATAACGTAACATTCTGAATATCAATTAACCTATGCAAAAAAAATTGAAGTGGGCGTGGCACATCCGGGTAATATTACTCATTATTGACATTTTTGGCCAGGGGCATAACTCGCAAAGTATACATTTGTTCAAAATGGAACTTTGCATACAATTACCTCATATATTGAGCCACTTTGTCTTAAAAATTCGGTTGTTTCCGCTTCATAGTTCAAAAAAAGGAACAGGTTTTGGAAATTCAAAATTTTCAATTTTTGACCTTGACCTTTGTTGACCTTGACCTTTGTAACACCAAACGTCATTGGCATTGGCTATCTATTTATACTTTTATATTTGCTGTCCTATGTCAACTTCCGGTTTTATAGTCGTGTGCAATTAGAAATTTTGATGGCGTATATCTCTTGATCTTGACCTTTTTAGACCTTCTCCTTTACAAGATCAAAAGTCATTTACCTTGGCTATCTGCTGATACTTTCATTTGTGAGGTCTGACGTCTACTTCCGGTATTAGAATATTCTAAAAAATGAACATTTCTCAACTTAGACTGTTCTTGCGCTTGATCTAATTATCGTCGAAGGTTGATTTTTCTGGGGTCTTTGCATTTTGCTACATTTGCAAAGTCCCACTCTGTGCCACGAGTGGCTCTAGTTTTTTTTTTTTTTCGTTTTTTACACAGGGCACAGCTGTAGGTAGTAGGTCAAAGGTCACTGGCCTTGGCTACCAGATGATACTTTGATATTTGACCTCCGACACCTACTTCCGGTTTTATAGCTGTCCGAAAACAGCAAAAATCGCAACTTTGGACTGCTCATACAGGTGACCTAATTGACCTAGAGAGTTATTTTTTGCAGATTCTGAATGGGCTTTACGAGCTCTTTCGAACGATATATCACAATGCATTGTAATGCAAAATTTCAATTTTTTTACATTTTGCAATTTTGGAAACCTTTAACTGATTTTTTGAGTTTTTTGACTTAATTATAGACATATCTCATGAACCAATTAGTATAGAGGCTTCAAACTTGGAACATAATTTTTCATACCCCGTACTAATGTACTCATTCAAAAAATAATGACGTGGGCGTGGCACATCCCGGTTAGATTTTCATTTCGTTTACATTTTGTTGTCTGGAAAAAATATATATAGATTGCATTTTTTTGAAAAATGCTTTTGCACAGACTTACTTCATTTCTTTAACTAAATTATATCAAAATCTCACGGTTTCAGCGTTTTAGTTCAAAAAAAAGGAACGGGTTTTAGGTTTTTCAAAATTTTCAATTTTAGATTTTGATTTTTAACCTTCATGATCGTATATCTCATTAACCAATAGATGTAAAGGCTTGAAAATAACGCATGTATATGACATTATAATTATTAATAAAGTCATTCAAAAAAATTGACGTGGGCGTGGCACATCCGGGTAAAATTTTGTTTTTGTCAAAATTTTGTACTTCAAAAAAAATTGTTTGATATTCAATTTTTTTCAAAAATGACTTTACATACAGTTACAACATATATTTAGCTAGTTTATGTTCAAAGCTCATTGATTTCAGCTTAGTAGTTCAAAAAAAGGAACAGGGTTAAGAAATTTCAAATTTTCCATTTTTGACCTTGACCTTTGATGACCTTGACCTTTTTAGGATCAAAGGTCATTGACTTTGGCTCTTCATATATGTTTTCATATTTGATGTCAAGTGTCAACTTCCGGTGTTATTACTGTGTGTATTTTCAAAGTTTATTGGTTGGTTTATAAGATCTGCAACATCCATATCTTGTAATGACAGAAATATAGCCGAATAGTTCTTTTTCTCTGCCCGTAGCCAAGTTATTATTTAACAAAAACTTTAGTTTGTGCAATTTGGGTATCTCTCATAGGTCCGCGCTCTTCACTGTATTCTTAATATTGAATTGCGAAGACTTCTCATAGGTCCGCGCTATACACTGTATTTTATCAAATTTGATTAGGGTAATCAGAGCATTTATTGTAGTAGCTAATCGAATCGATATACGTTAATCGAGTAAATCAACTTTGGAGCATAATTACTTTTTTAACTTCCGCTTTAGTAATGGCGTCTAAAATGTTTATTTCGTTTCTAAGATAGGGATAAATGGTGTTAAACCGTAATATTGTGTTATTTTGACGTGTCATCAATACACAACATGACAGAATGTCATACCGATACATTTCAGTCGAGATGTACATCCAAAAAAGCATTAGACTCTCAATAGGGGCATAAAATATCAATGATTATTATTTCTGTTTGGGGTGGGGTGGGGCAGCTGGTATAGCCGCCATCTTGGAAAATATTTAATTTACATTTATCCTGTCAACAAAATCAGATTCGATTTGTGACGTCACATTGATTAAGGTAATCGAATCAGATTTAAGTGCATAAAAATGCCTCTAATTTTAGGTGCAACGGTTTTTTTAGTAAGTAAAGGGAAGTAACCAAAACAAAGATTTGCCCGGGATCGTTAATTCAGAACACAGCAGATTCTTTATTGTCTGAGACTGTATTGGGTTGTTGTCCATTTGTTTCACGATTAATGATTCAGACCAAAACGTTTTTTTTTGTTATAGCTATTTACTCATTGTCTGCATATTGTATATTTTGAGGTTGTATAATAAGACATATTAGATGTAAAAAAAAATGCTTCCAATTATTTTTATTGAAGTATTTTACAAATTAAGATTAAGTTACAGATTGCAGACATATAAATAAAATAATTCTTTATTAGATCAATAAAAGCATGTCACATCCTGCAGAGTGCAATACAAAAAAAAAAAAAACACTTACACTAGGCTTAAATTTTACAAAGACAGATCAAGCAGGGAAACTTTGTATTAGATTAACCAGATTAATAGAATTAAGAAATGTTATGGCTAGTAGTAAAGGTGTAACACTCAAAATCTATGACGAGGCTAATATAAAATACTATATGACAACATAAAAAATCAACAGAGAAATGTCATGTAATTTCACTTGAGTACTTATACAGCCAAGATAAATATGACCAGAACAAAGAGAAATCCAGTTTTTTTCAAGTGTTTGTTTTTGTTATACACTTAATATATATTAATTTTATGCTACAGCTAGGGCGCATGTAGCAAAAACATTCATAATGTACTGAATAATAAACAAAGTAAGAAATTCAGAATGTTTCAGGATACAATATAGAAAAAATCATTATGTACAGTAACAATATTGTGTTTCAATATACTTCAGTAGTACTTTTTCAAGTTATTTTTCTTTAATAACAAAGCAAGTATATTCACATACAACATCATATACTTACTCAATTATCTAGAATAAAGTGAAGAAACATATATAGATATGTATATACTATGTACATGATATGATAAAATGTTATCAAAACCCATTGTGATTTTGAAATTAAGTGTATGTAGCCCATATTAATTAGTTAATTTTGAGCTCTTCTTTAAACATATATATATATCTTTCATGACACACTTTTATAAGTAAGAAATTCAGAATTAATATATACAATTCACAGTAATACTATTATGTATCATTTAATAATGTATTAAAGTGGTTTATTTTTGGTATATTGTTAAAGGTATTGCATACTTTCTGGTGGCATAATGATAACATTAAAACAACAGAAATATTGCATTATATATAAAGCCTTATAGACTAAGAATTTGGCATAATGTACTTCTACAACACTATAAACCAAGACTTTGAGTGTTAAAGGATTTTTAGTGATTTATTCAAAAAGAAGTTTCAAAAAGATTAGCCTTTATGTCTAGAGTCTTGACCGAATTCTTGTATTGCACACTGAAGGATGTTAATGCTTCATTAACCTAATAGAAAGTAACTAAAAAATGATAAATACATTATTTTACATTTTAGTCATGAACAATATTGAAGTCATGTTGTTACCTTAAAATTAGTTCCAGTGGTTTACTGCATAATATAACAACAGAAACAATTAGTAAATATGGTAAAAAAAAAAATTTTAACAGAAAACCAGATGAATTTGTGACAATTTTTACACAAAAAGGACAGTTCAAATTTGAGAAAGAAACTGTGCATACACAATATAATAATGAAAAACATGAACTAAATCTTGAGATATCAGTTTTTTGTGCTACAATTTAATGCTTAGTTTATTTCCAATTTTTGTTTAAAAATAAATAGCCCAATATGATTTATTGAGTTGATAGGTAAATGTTTACATGTTTTTCAAAAAGCTAATACTTGAGGCTGTGAACATTGTTTAAATATAACAAAACCATATTGGGTTAGTATTTCTCTTCAATTCCCATTTTTTGGTCCTTAGGACAAAAATGCTTGAATATTTTTGACGCAAGAATGAAACTGATCCAGAATATCAATGAATACAATACAAATTTTTCACCTTATGTGAATAAATTCATCAAATAATATGGCCAAAATGAGTAAATCTAATGTTTTTATCATTATCTTCATTTTTGATCCAGTGAATTTTTCTTTCAGAATAAAATATTCAAACACTTTTAAATAGTTGATAGTTAATATTGGAGTATAGTTTTATCAGAAATATGTTATATCAAGTAGCTGTATCAAGTTCATGTTACCTGAGTAAGTAAGACCATTTACCTCTGTTTCGGGACCAATAAATGAATAACTTAAAAAAAAATACTGAATAAACATAATTTGCAGGTATGCATCTTTTTTTTTATCCTAGCGTACAATGATGTCTACAAAGTTTGAACCATAATAATTCTTACACTGAAAATAAAAAAAATATTTTTTATAAATACATGTAACCTTTGTATGTGTATCGGGGACACCAATAGATTCAAATCTATTTTCCATTCTGACGTCTGAGGGTCTTGCAATTCCAATTAAACTAATGCGTTTTATGACGTTATGCCCAAGGATCTGCATAGATATCAATAGTACCAGAAGAAGATCCGTGGTCGTGACGTCATAAAACGCGTTAATCTTAGTGGAATTGCTAGTACCACATACGTCTGAATTAAAATTGAAATGGCGCAAATTGCTGCTATTAATGTCCCTGATATGCGTACAAAGTTTAGAAGACCTCTTTACAATCCCTTTAAGCTTCTTGCAAACAATTATAACAGATGATTAGGTTTTATATCAGCTTTCTTCATTTGATAATTTTTTCAAATTCAAAAATATAACAGATTATAGTATTTAGTAAGTGTATAACTTTTCAGAATAAATATATATATACAAATAATCAAATATGTACCTGATTTATTATTGGTAAACGCTCCACTTAAATGTCTTTATCTATCTATCAATCCTGCAGTTGTTCAATTAACAGCCTTATAAAATACTTTCTTCTTCACAAACTCATTTCTTCCTCACTTCCACCCCCCAACCCACCAGAGGTAAATGGTCCCCCCTACCCATCATCTTTTGGTGATCATATTCTAACTTTTCCTGAAATAATGAAATACAGTTACAATAAATTAATGCTAACAGCTTCATGATAACTATAATATGTAGGTACAATGGTAATTTTAACACGTTTTAAATTGATACCTGAACTTAAATATACATGATCTAATAATGAATTGCATTCTGTTGTACTGTCTGTTACACATTGTCTAAAACCAAACTCTTCAAAACAATGCCTTATTGAACTATATCCTTCTAACAAATTTTGATTAAAATCTCCCATGACAATATAATCATAACCACACTGTTGTAACTCAGTTAAAAAATGTTCTAAATGAGGCTTAAACAATTCTAATCTATATTTTGGTGGTCTATAAATAACTATAATAGAAACATTTTTATCTGGAACATTACAAGCAACATATTCCATATTTAACTGTCCTAATCTTATAATATTACAAGGTTTATTCTTACTATAATATATTCCTACACCACCATGCTCTTTTTCCTTAAGATTTCTAAAATTGGCACTATCATCATAGCTATCATTACGACATTGATTATAAAAAATAAAATTATCTAATCTTATTTTAATCTGGATTTTTTATATTCTTTAGCCAAGTTTCTGTACAACAAATCATGTCAGAATTCATAAATCTTTTATCATTTTTTAAATCTTCAAAATGTGAAGTCAGTCCTTGTACATTAAATAATATAATATTATAACTATTAGGCAACACTTGTTCTTCAGGTTGTAAAAATCTTGGCATTTCATTTAAAGCAGATTCAATCTTTTCATCACAAAATATAGCTTTTTCATTAAAATCTTGTATTGTCAATCCTTCTAATGTTTTAACACGACTTAATGCAACATATGCTTGGCCAGTTTGAAAAATTCTATCTAAAGACACAACACCTCTGTCTAAACTCAAACCTTGAACTTTATGAATAGTAACTGCATAAGCTAATCGTAATGGAAATTGACGCCGAACATCACCTTTATAGTTAATGTGGGTACTCTCATGTCTTTCAATTGGGATGCTTCCTGATTCAACATTAGGCGGAAGACGGATAGTTTGCTTACTACAACCAACTTAAGCATTCTTGAATTTAATATATATCTTTCTGGGTTTATTATTTTTATCATTTTCGATAAATGTAACAGTACCAAAACTTCCATTAATCAAACCAGCTGAAACATCTAAATTAACAACTAACGTTACATTAGATCCTATACCAACTGTCAAATTTTCTACAAGTGGTGTATCAGTAGCTCTTACACAAGAATCTTTTAATAACATTCTTCCTGATCTAGCATCTTTACTATAGTCTAAAGCTTGAATAGAAATAGCAGTAGGACATTTTTCATTAATCATTCTAGCATTATAATTGTCAACTTGTTGATTTGTGGAGAAAATATGTAAACAATCAACTTCTTCATTTGTCACTCTACTTTGTAACATTTCAATATCTGATTCTAACATTTCTTCACTTTTCCTTCTTTTTCTTATTCTATTTAAAAGCTCAGCAAATGCTAAATCATCTTTCTGTCTCATGATTTCTGTTAACTCAATAAGTTTAAAATTTCCATTCCAAATATCTATATCACTATCATGACATAAACTAGAAGCTTTGACTGGTTTCAGTTGCCACATGTCACCAAAACAAATTACACAAATATTACCAAATAACTCATTACTATTAGTACCTTTAATTTGATTTAATCGTCCATGAATATAACAAAGTAAGTTGTGATCTACCATTGATATCTCATTTATTATCAATATTTGTAAATTACGATATTTAGACCTTAATGTGTTGACAGTATCTTGTCCTAATTGTTGATATGGTAAAGTAAACTTAGTCCTTATTGATAAACTTGAATGTATAGTTCCAGCCCCTATTGCAAAAGCTGAGACTCCGGTTGGCCCAGTTAATAAGACGGAACAATCATCTAAATTTTCTGCAGTTTTTGCTAAAACTCTAGAAGCTTCATAATTTATACATTTTATCAAATGTGATTTTCCAGTGCCAGCAGAAACAGTAATAAACAATCTTAATGGATCAGGATTTTTACCATGTACTTTATCTAAACAATACTGTCGTACTTTATAAAATACTCTAGATTGAATGTCATTTAAGGACCGAAGTAATGGAATAGCATTACCTTTAGAAATTCCACTAATATTATTTTCAGATCTTATTCTATCACTGTTACCTCTATCAGATATAATGTCTGGGATTTGTGGTTCAGAATTATCATCTTCTTGTTCGGTATCTTTTCATTTTGAAATCTTTCAGTTTCAATTCTAATTCAGTTTCAGGTGCTATACTAGCCCAGGCATCTTGAAAATCACCACATTTCTCAACAACTTCTGAAATTGTATCAATATCTATATCAGTTTCAAAGCGTT